TTCAGTGTTGATTACTCCTCACATACAGTACTATATATACTGGTAACACATTGGAAGCAAAATAATACCAACATGTACAGCCATGGACAAAAAGAATTTGGCAGGGAGGGAAGGAAGTGCTGTATGGGTGGGGGTGTAGGTGGAGACTGGGCACCGTCGCATGGAGGTGGCAGTGAAAAGTCTCCTCAAGCCTTTAACTTTTTATGTGTATTGTACTGAGTTATTTGCAGGACATTATTAGTGCAAGCTGTGCCTGCCTATTAAGTCAACTAAAAAAATAAATTTGTGATGTGAAAAAGAAAATCATAGACTTTAACTGAGACCTCTATGCAACGGTGCCAAGTCTCCACCTAACCCTACCCTCCCATAAACCACCTCCTCCATCCCTCCCTGCCGAATTCTTTTTGTCCACAACTGTACATAATGTAGAGTAAATTTTGAATGACAGTAAGGCCAAGAGAGTTTATAGGAGTGTGGTACAAGAAGTTAGAGTGGAGGGGGAAGGGTAGCTAGCATCCTGGGAAGAGAAAGTGTGTTACACAAGGGTTAATTAACAGGGAGGTTGTAGTTGGAGGAGTTTAAGGTAAGACATCCTGGAGGCTTCTCTATGAGTACCACCCATCTTGAGAGGATTTCCAACAATGATGCATTAGAGATATTGACTACATATAGGTTTTAAGTACATAAGTTGTGTGAATTAATATAGAAATTATAAGTTAATTACTGTACCCAGGCATGTCTCAAATAATTCACTGAATTCAAAATTCATGAACTGCTGTTTACTTTAGTTTCAATATACAGTACAGTGTTTGACTAAATACTGTATTATTTTCTAAAATTTCAAATACTTAATTTTTAAATTCGATTACAGACATAGTAATTAAAGCAGCTCAATTTGCTACAAGTTATAAGTAAAACATCTGCCAGCACAAACACAGCTTTACAGTATGTTATTATGAGGAGAATTAAGATCTTTCAGCCAATTAAGGTAAAAAACATAAGTTAATCAGATATGATTCATTAAGCACAAAATGAAAGATCACACAATCCTCACTGTCTGAATGTGTAAGCAAAGCTTGACTTGATTCTCTTTTTTGTGGCGCTATTCCTTGACGGTAAGCATTAAGAATGTGTTTCTCCTCTCCCTCAGTGATATCCCAAAGTCCTAACTACTAGAGTTGGTGCAAAAACTATAGAAAGAGGTGCATAATAATAATTTAAGTCACTCCATGCAAAACAGTTAACAAGTATCCCATCCATTCTTCTGATACAAATATTATCAGGTCTGTATCATACTCTGGTAAAATGGTGGATATGTCTATTTTTCCAATTAAGTACAATTGACTCAATTAAGATACCCAGTACATACTTGCTTTCCTTCTTATATAAGACAGAAATGAACCTGCATATAAACATAGGTATATGGATAAAGATGCCATCCATTATGACATTTCCTATAATTTGTAGGCCTGGCATTTCCCAGATTAGACTGGTTAGCTTAGCCCAGGGCATTGAGGTGGTGAGTAGCTGGCTCACCACACCACAGCAAGTAATGCCCACCAACCCTGACATGTCACAGAACTGAATCTGTGTTCACGGATCAGGAGTCTAGAGTACTATCACCAGATTCCTGGTGCTCAAAATAAATCTGGTTGAGACAATTTCAACTATTAAGTACAGTATAGTAATCTACCGAGCAGGTAGTGTATTCATATTGCACTTTTCTCCAGGGTCCTCAAAATGAAATAGATTAGGAAGCTTGTCTGAAAATGTGGAGGCTGACTGTGTCCAGTACAGCAAGGTATGAACCTAGTGACTAAGGGTCTGGGCACCACAGAAGTACCGATCTTTTATTTGTGTATTTTCTTTAAATTTTTACAATAATATTTTAATTACTGGTAATTCTCTTTATTTTTCTGAAGAACCTTGACCAGACACCCCAAATACAGTACATATGTACAGTACCTGAAGATTACTTGCATTTACAAAGCTTAATAATTTTTCATAATCAAACTAGAGTCATCCAAACAGAACCTTCATTTAACATTTTTCTCATGTCTCCACACATAAAATGCCCAACATCACTAACAGGTTACTCTCCTGTATTTCCTGGTATATATCTCAAGACTGTGGCTGGCTGGCTGGAAGATGAACTACCAAAGGAGGAACTATAGTTTTGGTGAAACTGCTGGTACCAACAAAAACAACCATACCTTGAGTCAGTGAAGTACATAACCTACTGTCATGGAACTTCCCAGGAACATAAGACACCTTGCCTACCACACTGACTACTTGTTACCCTAGAATATGATCAGTCAAACAAGTCCCAAATTACTATGCGGTGCAAATAAACAAACAGAAAAGAGGAATTTCGGTTCACTGAAATACAGTACAGTACTTGTAGCATGTTTACATAATACAGTACAATATATATATATATATATATATATATATATATATATATATATATATATATATATATATATATATATATATATATATATATATATATATATATATAGTATAGCCTAAATAAATATCAACATTGGCAATTATATCAAAGAAACAATCTAATTTAAGTCCTTCTTCACTGAGGTTATACTTATTACAAAGATGATAAACTGCACAGTATTCCCTCACATCTCACAAACTTTGTTTCATGTTCAGTACAGTATACTGTAGACAGTTTTTGTAGTATTAATATGCAGGTGGAACTTCTGTCTTTACGTAATTAAAAAGTGCATTAAAATAAAAACAATGTGATTGAACTTGCATTAAGAACATTGTATGCTACAGTAACAGAAGCTCAGTTGACAATAAGGGAAGAACAGAATGAACGATTTCTGAAGTAGTAAATAAATTGTCTGATTCCTTTCATTCTCATGACACTTTACCCCTACAGTATTGTGTTTGTACTTGCATGTATATTGTACAGTACTTAAGAGGAATAACTCAGTCATATATAATGCCACTTGTGGTACAGTAACCTGCTGGGAGAGTTAAACAAAAACCTTAAAACTTGTCAGTAACTTCTTGTGTGATTATTTGTCATGTTTACAATTTGTGGGAGAAGGATCTTAACATCTATAATAAGTATACAGGTATGGCATCAATAAGTGTTAAAACTTTCATTTTCTGTCAGTGATTCATTTTCATACAAATACTCTCTATGTTCATTAACTTACAAGTGTACAGAATTGTATTTTAATACAAATGAACCAAGTTGCCAACTCGTAGGGTGCACACAAGCACAGGAACGAGTCTACAGAATTTATTACCTTGCGTACTTAGAGATCGAGTCTACTCAATAAAAAAAATAATCATATGAGATCAAATATTTAAGCTTTATAAAATTGGATACATTTCTAGAGCATCCTACGTTTACAGAACTGGTTTGTATGTACCGTAAACACCTACCAAATCATATATACAGTACATAGAGAATAATGCCACAAGGAGGCCATGGCAACATAACACAGCACTTAACATCATTTACCATCATGGAGGAAGACAACAACACGAACAAAGAAAAATATTAAATTCATCAAAAAGTAAATCCTCCGCTCGCGTCACGCCACACAACGGCAAATGATAAATACATTAAAAAATATGAATGGAAAACATAAATCATATATACATATATAGAAAGAAAAATATATAGTGTGTATAGAAAGAAAAAAAGAGAGAAATACATGGCTCTACACACAAGCATCTGTCATCTTTACAGATCAGAAGGAACCCATAACTCTTACTACTGTATATCCAAAACTAATTAGAAAAAAAAATTGAAGAAAACAAACCTTCGTCTATCAGCAAATATCAATTGATTTACCATACAGTACTTTGAACTAATAGGATAATGCCTAAATATAATAAAAATATAAGCACCTACATATGTACAGTATATATAAATATCTTTCTTGGCAACTGTAACAAGTCCCTTATGTATCTTATATGTACCTTACTCCATTTTGTTTGTGTTTTTGTCAAAAGGTGATGTGTCCAATAATTTGTGATGTACAGGGTGTCTCATAAGTCATGCACCATAGAGAAATTAAACCTCTCTCTTTTCTTCTTTTTCAGGTGAGGGAATCATAACACATTAACAAAGATAAAAGAGAAATTTAACACTAGTAAAGACTCAGTTTAATACTCATGTATGGAGAGTCTGATGCAACACACAAAGTATTTTTATCAATAATGCCCAGACATACGGGTGTGAAGCATCAGCCTTTCCGTACATGAATATCAAACTGATTCTTTCCGCTAGTGTTAATTTTTCTTAACATCTTCACTAATTTCTTATGATTCCCTCACCTGAAAAAAATTAATAAAAAGATAATAGTATTAATTTCTCTCTGATATATGACCTATGAGATGCCCTTTATACTGAGAGACTGGCAAAAATTACTAAATATCTCATACATTTATCATTCTTGTCCTATGTTATGTGTGCCTTTTGAACATTCATTGTGAGGAGGTGCATAAAGGAATCTTGCCTCAATATGTTTGTTTATGTATGAGAAGTAATGAAGGAAAATTAACACAATAGCTCTCACCATGAACTGTCTAAGCCCACCTTATCTTATTCTATTATGAACTAGATGGTACAAACGTTGGCCTCCGTCACCCAGGAAAACACAAACATGCTAACAAACATAAAAGAAACTCTCTTTCTGCCCTCAATTCATCTTACCTATGGCTAAATATGTCCCTTTGTCTATTAAGTACTGTACTTCAACAAACATATCAAAATTCCATGTAATGCTACAAACATTGATCTTTTCCAGTTTTCAGTACAGCTCCTCCCCGACTTACGACGGGGTGAGGAACCCAAATCCAGGTCTTAAGTCGAAATGGTCGTAAGTCGAAAATGTTTAAATAATACATAGAAAATTTAAAATGGGTGTCTCTTTTTCTTCTCAGCACCACAAAACTCTCACTTTTAAGCTAGCCAGCCATTTTAAAGTGAATTACAAACAAAAATTTTGTCTGTGTAATGACGTTGGGACTCGAAAATAAGCAATTTGACAAAATTTTGGTATGACTGAAGCAGGTCGTAAGTGCGGGTGGTCGTAAGTCGTATGTCGGGGAGGAGCTGTATTCCTCAGCCTCTCTATTTTCATTTTCTACCAATCGACAAAGTTTTCACAGTCTTATGCTAATGAAATGATAAAGTGTCTTGCATTTCTTAATAGCTACACCAAAAAAGCACTTAACTCACCATTAACAAATATGAGTCAGCGTCCAGTTGTTGTGAAGTAATGGTGTGAAGATGGTTGATAGTCTGTGGTTGTGAAGAGACAGAATGTATGAGGAAGAATGAGAATGTATGAGGAAGAATGAGAATGTATAAGGAAGATTGAGAATGTGTGAGGAAGATTCCATATACACCATCCCTTTATGAGACAACAAAACACATATAAATAAATAATAATGTTACTTTAGGTACCACAACGTCATAACAAACTCAGCGCTGGCTTGTACATCCGCCAAGAACTGCTGAATAAATTAATGATTGCCGACCTTTTAAATAAAAGTTGGATACCTGAAGATTAGACACCCCTGCTTAATTTGACTAATATTTGACACCTCAGCTTAATATGCTTGAAGCTTTAACACCCAAGCTTATTTCATCTAAAGATTAACTACCCTAATGCTACCTACGAAGGTAAGATTAGGGTAGATAGGTTAAGTTAGGTTAGAGTAGGTCAGACCAGGATAGGTTAGGTTGGGTTGGTTTAGGTTGGCTAGGTTAGGTCAGCACTATGGTGGTTAACCTTCAGGTGATAAAAGCTAAGGTTTCTAATTTTCCGGTGATCCAAAAAATCTGATACTCCTGCCCTCAGATGTGTGGCAGATTATAAAATTTTAGGATTAATTCTATCATTTTTTTAAAGTCACGACCGACAAAATTTATCTTCAAAATACCATTAAACTCAATTTATTATTATTATGGGACGTTTAAAATGGTGAAAGTGAAAGTGGGTCCCATAGGCATGACTGCCCGTTAGGGAGTATGGATATAGCACACTGTATACTATTCCTTTGGTACAGGAGAAGGCAGCATTGCCAGTACTGCACTCGACCACAGTCACTTCCCCAAGTTGTAAACTTAGGTACAGTACCCATTTACAGCTGGGTGAACTGGGAGTGCCCAAGAATCAAATCACCAACCCTGGAACAAGAGGCGAGCACTGTATCCGCTCAACCGCCACGCTCTTCTGAAAATGGTAACTCAAAATAAAACTTGAATTTCCTCCCATACTGCAATTTGGTTTCATGTTACTTAAATATTATATTCTCCTCTTCAATGGCCATATACAGTACAGTACAGTATTCATAACTAAATTACCAGGACCTCTGAACCAACTCAATAATTCTCTCTATTTCTCTCATGGTTACATAATATAAAGCAGCTCCTTGGAACATTTTCACAAAGAAGTCAAATTACTTATAGTCTTTATTTTATAAGTTATATAATAAAACAAGTGCAGTAAAAGCTTTCTTATATGGTATCTCACTAACCGGACATCTCTAGTATTTGGAACTTTCACTAATGACCGACAGAAATGCATACTACAGTACAATACTAGATTTTCACCTGGACTTTCATAACTACAGTACTACAATACATCGTCATATCCAGCACTACCTACATATTAAAGCCTTTACTGTACTTCATATGCTTCTATTATTTTCCTTGGTTTTCATTAATTGGCAACAGAATTAAAACCTTTAAATAAAATCATCAACTTACAAAACTAACTAAGTAGCTGTTTGGTTTTTCTTCTAAAGTTTTTACAAGACATAAAACCCTTAGACATTAAGTAGAAGAGGACTCGTATAAAAGGGAAAGGCAATAAGGATACGCTGAACCCTCACTAATTCGGCATCGTCGGGGTTCTTGCTCGATCAAATTAACCAAAATAAGCCAATGTGTGAATATCGAATTAGTGAGGGCTCAGTGTACTTTCAGCTACCTCCTTCAGGAAGTAATGATACTTATCATACCTCATAATACTTAATCAAATGCTACGTATACAAATATCACAAACAGGAGCAAATAATGTTCCAAAAATGCAGCACCAAAAATCAGAATTTGCAACAAGAGAATCCAAGCACTGTGACCTTCCCTAAAAAAATCAAGGAAATTCTGATAAATCACAATCTAAAATAAATGCCCGAGACATTCTCATCAAACTTTGTAACTGTAGCTCCAGCCAGTACTGTAGAGGAGCCACCCTACATCTCCTACTTGAACACTGTAAACTCCAGCCAGTATTGGACTGTAGAGGAGCCACCCTACACCTCCTGCTTCAACAGAGTAGCTCCAGTCAGTACTGTAGAGGAGCCACCCTACACCTACTTCAACAGAGTAGCTCCAGTCAGTACTGTAGAGGAGCCACCCTACACCTCCTATTTGAACACATGTTCCATGAGCCAACATAACATTGAAGTAATGTGGTAATATCCATGACTGACCCACCAATGTACAGCAGCTACAGCAGTTTTCAATTTTTTATTATTATTTTTTTTAGCTGGTTGCAGCAAGTACCATCTACTGACCATCAGTGTGGAAGAAAACATATGTATGAGAGTATCATCAAAACTTCAGGTTTACAACTAGAGGAATCATTCACTGAATCATACTCAATTATTAGTTTAGTCACTTGTCCATACCTTACACAATGCATATATGGACAGGCAGGAGACAAGAAGATTTTGAATCACTTGGGGCGGTAAGCTTGCCAACTTCAACAAAGTTCTCCACTCCTGCTTCCTACGTCTCACACTGATCACTGCACATCCTTTAGCTACACTGTACAGGACTTGGTGGGGTGATCTTCCTACCCTGCCACAGGTGTACAGTACAAAAGAAGTCAAGAGATGGGTCTCCAGAAAGTAGCACTTCCTCCTACACAACCCCTCCCACCATCCAGTAAATCAGTTTTCAATGTCCATCACTGTCCTCTCATCCACATACAAAAAAACTGTTTGTGTGTGTAACTTTTAAAGTTACATCACACCTAACCATAATAACTATGTCACTACTGTATAGAAAGTCATAGTTTAACAACTAAATACAGTAAGGGAATTTTGGGTCATCCAATTGGGAAAAAGTGGTACATCTGAAAAAGGGTGAGTGACATTATCATCAATGACAAGTTTTTCCTTTCATGTGCAAGGAACAAATGTTTAACACTATGATTGATCATCTTTGATGACGTCTATATGTCTGTCTTATAAAAAATGGACAAATTATCACAAATTTTTTTTTACACTATGAGCAAATGGAGGCAGATACTGGAGGAGATCCTTAATACTACATGCATGGTACTATGGAAAACAATGAAATTCTGAAGATGTCCAGCACTAACCCTCAGCAGCTCTTGCATGAGCAAACCTTGACTGTAAGTTTAAATCTGTAAATCAACAGCAGTTTACTTATAACTAGTGGTTCTGGCATGTAACCTCAACAAGAAGAGCGACCACGTCGACTTAATGTGTGAATTTACAATGTCTTCCATAGCACAGGCTAATTGTACTTGTGGTGAACACTTTAGGCTGTACAGTACACTATTTTCAAACAGTGTGGTAATATCTGAAAAATCCACTGCCCAAATAGTAGTTATGTTTTTCATTACAAAACATTAAAATATATTACCTTATAATTACTAATGACAAACTACATTAAAATTTTCAATCAGAAAGTTACAAATCAAATATTAAAAATTATATAATTGAGATATGCCAAATTAAGTGAAGAAATTAAGAACATTTAAGAGAGCTGAGATTCTTTAGTTTCACTGGAGGCAACAACATCTGCTGCACATGTTATCACTTATTATCAAGCACCACAAATACACAACTTTGCTTCCCCAGGAGAACATCTGAGAAGCAAGAAACACGAGTTTATTGTCATTATTTCATTTAAATTCCTGAAAGACTGAGTGCAACCTTGCATCAAATGTATTTTTTCTGAATCTAATGAAATATCTTATAAAACACTGAAGCTGCACTCCTAGAATCTGTATAATTTTCATACAAAGTAAAAAACTACAGACTGATGCAGCTCACAAGTCACAGAGCAAAATTACTAGCACTAATGAACACCTCACGCATATTGTACTTTTAATACAAAAATGTAATCTTTAAGTGGTCAAAATGAGAGGATTGATACTGAAATCGTGTACTGTAGACTAGTTGAACCCATGACCAAATGGCTAATGTTACTGTGATGGTCAACTGTGGGGGCTGGATGTTGTGCCTGATCCTCACTTGACATCTGAACGTTGGTCTCACAAGTGCCTGCCCCATCACAATTGTTGCTCTCTGAAGGTAGGTCTGATAAAGAGTTCAGCCCACTAACTACTGCCTCACACCAAAATTGCAGGCTGCCACCTTTGATCTTGCTATAGTTCTGGCTGACCACTGGTAACTATTAACCCTTTGAGAAGAGAGAGATATCTGAGCCACTTGGTTATGGACTCGGCTAGAAACACGATTTCTAGCTTGAGTCCTTTCACTGAGCAGCTCATTACTGACAGCCAGCTAGAGTTGTGGAAAGATGTGTGTCCGAGGAGAGTTAACCCAACTACAGAGGACTCCTCCTTCAAGAGACTCTTCTCAGTTCTGAAGGAAGAAGACAAACCCAAAATTCCATCAGATTAACATGGAAGCATTGAAAAAAGATGAATCTTTCTCTCATGTAACTCAAGTTCAGCCAATGTACTGTATGACATCCATCTTAATATAAATTCTCGTACAGATACTATGGATCTCACTTCCTGCACCATCTCTCAGGCACTGTTGAGTCTCCATAACACCAGGTTCAAGCCAATATAACCCAGCTCTGTCACTTGCACTTACACACTACACGCACTACCAACATGATACTCTCCTATAGATCACTGAAGACAGTTCATAATACAAAGAAATGAACTTGCCCAGGAGGTTCATCTGCTTAGTTATTCCTAAAGTTCCACAGTAAAGTTAACAATTTAAACACTTGGTGAGGGGAAATCTTAAGCTTCTCCCTTCAACAAGATTGGCCAGATAATTAGCTTTGTAGTCAAGCAGGTATGACTGTTCTCTGTGGACTGAAGCAAGATGGAAAATTTTTCTTAAAATCAAAGATGGCAGCACATAAGTGTGTGAAGCACTATCTAGGTAACTCAGCTCAAAGTTGACATTCTTTGCCTACCTCCAGAAGGCAACATTTGTTTCTCATCTGCCTCTTCAAAAGTGGTGGTTGTGATGAGGAAGGATGAACATCTTCCAGATCAGCTTCTAATTGTCAAATGGGGGGGGGGCAAGGTGTGATGTCTAGCACACACAACTGGTCAGTACAGCAGCAAGAACCACCTGGTGTCGGGCAACAAGCTACAATATTTTAGTCGGGAGACAGGGAATGAAAATGCTTTGTAGGTTCAAACTCTGACACATAATATGAATGCTAATAAAGAGGAGAATAATATTACATATTGAGGCTTTAAGAGGATGGGGCAAAACTCATTACCTTTCAATGGAATAAAGGGTTAACGCAATGGAGTTTATTGACAACATAACACATCTTACTGGAGGCTATGATGAAAGGGGACTTTTTGGTGGCATCATAAGAATTGGGGGCGATACTGCAGTTAAGCTTGGCATCATGGACATGGGTAATGGAGGGGACGGCAGCAGTGGCAAATGTGGGAGTGGTGGCTGTGGAAGTGGCTGAATTATAGGCTCTTCAACAAGAAGCTCAAAGTTGTAGCGTTTCACAATAACAGTGGCTTCATCAGGCGACATCTTGTGTGTGGTGATTAAGTGTTGTTTTAAGTTCCTGAAAGTATAACAATAACTTATATTAAATATTTTATGGAGGAGCTATGAAAATACAGGGAGTAATCAAGTTTTACTATTTTATGCACTTCTTTTAAAGGAGGCAAATTTAACCTACCAAATCCAGCCTAACCTTAAGTAACTAATGCAAAGCATTTTATTACATGAGGTGGGTGTTGGGCGGTGTACTGTGACCTTTGACCTTTTGCTCCTACGTATATATGGTATATGTATGTAGTAGACAGCTATCAAACAGGGAGGTACTACCGCTTGGGAAGATATTGGAAGCATAATGTGTTGTCTAATGGTAGACCCTGCTGCCATATGGCATCACAAAAATTGTGACCAAGTCACAGGTTGCTGATCTGATTTTCTGCCTCATTTACACACAATTGCAGGGTCTCAATTATTTCTCTTACTACATGTACGGTATTGACAACACAACATACATACTGTCGTTTCTCACTCTTGATTTATTGTTTTTAATTTTTGTATTTATTTTTATTATTATTATTATGTATTATAATTTTTATTTTATTAATTATTATTATTATCATTATTATTATTTTTCATTAATTATTATTATTACTGTATTATATTTTTGCCCTTCAGGCCATGATGTGCGTCAGTGACCTGTGCCCAGGTGAGCTAATCCCAGAAAAAAGAAAAGAAAAAAAAAGGAGTCATTCCTGAGTTCTGCTTTACTGTACTGTATACAGTATAGTCTGCATTTATGCGGTCAATTGAACCCGTGGAGGTCCGCGTAAAACGAGAAACGCGTAAACGAAATAACAGAACATATGGGATTAATTGAAATAGAGACTTGGCCGATCCCCAAACTACACTTTTTCCGACACAATACGTACGTTGTAGTAAAAATAACATCTTAATTTTATGATGGTATGCACACACAATTAATATGTAAGAGAAATATCAATAATATTAGGTTTTATAACACTTACATTAGTAGAAAAGATGGCTGGGCACACGGGGATGGGGGGTTGGTTCCGAGGCAGAGGGCAGATTATTGGCCCTCACCTGTATCACTTGTATCAATTGTATCACTATCCACCACAGAGGCTTGCAGGGCCTCTTTGTCAAACCCCTCAAAGTCCATATCCTCACTATCACTATCATTGACTTAGGCCGGCTGTGGTGGGTGGCGGGTGAAGAACTCGGTAATGTTTTGATGACTGGGCGACCTTGTGCGCACCCTGCCCGCGCCGCTTCCCGCGTAAATGATGAAATTTACCGCGTACAGTAATTAAAACATTTCATTCTGGCAAGGCACCGCGTAAATGACCAAACACGTAAACAAAATCCGAGTAAATCCAGACTATACTGTACATACATTATAGAGAGAAACAAATGGCAGTGGTCACTCTACCCATTGAACCATGTGTGTGTGAATAATGAGAACAACAAACCATTCATCAAATTATAAAACTATTATAAAACTATGATTCTCCCATTTTCACAAGAAAGATCATATACATGGTAATTAATAACACACAAATGTCAAGCTATGGTGTAAATTACCTTCTCTGACTGAGCATGCGTCCACAAGAAGGACAGTTGCACCGTTGTCTGGAAGGTTGTGTGTACGGGGAAGTGGAGGAGCCCATCCCCCCTAGTCCACCTCCTGTCATGGTAAGTTGAACATCCGACAAATGGAATGAGAGGCGATGTGTGGGATCTGTCGCACCTGCAGCAGGACAGACAAGTTTTTCTAGCCTGTTAATTAAAGGCTTAAAAGTGAGACACAAATATTTACCTTTACACTGATGGCAATACAGTAAGTTAAGGTAATTCAGTGGTGTAGCACTACTGTATATGGCAGCAGGAATGAATTACTTAACTAAAAATCAAGTAATATATCAAATAATATCATATACAAGTTAAATAATTTTCAAGAGAAGTTACTCAAAATTGCTATAATTAAAGGTGATAATACTTAAATGCTTGACTCAGCTGTGACAGAAATTGCCTCGTTCATCAGTACAGTTCACACCTTTTGTGCAACAGTATATTAAATTAAAACTTAAAATACATATACAGGTATATTCTAAAATTTTGCAAATACAGTATAATATCAAAGACAAATAATATTAATCATATTTTAATAACTTTAAACTTAAAAATATTTTTCTTATCAAAAAATTTGACTTACCAGTACACTGTTTTAAGGTGATCATTAGTACAAGTATACATATATTTTTAAATACTGTATAAATTCAAACTCAATCTGGAATAAAATTATATATACTGTACATGCAAAGATCTGACTTACCAGCACAGCACAGTACAGTACAGCATCAAAGACAGTCCACTCATTTCGTTCTTAATCCTGAACTATAGCTGTCCTTAGTTGTATTTTTCTTCTTTGACCTATCATGATTCATATTCAATGATCTTTGGTGGATGTTTAATTCAATCATTTAATTCCTTCTATTTTACCTCTCATTTACTCATTCAATTCTGTTTCATGAGAATTACTTCAGATATAACTCATATATTGTCACCTTATTCCTAGAGAAAGTATTTACTTTGACATTCAACGTTCCTTAAGTCTACAAGGCCATAATTCAACTTGAGAACTCCAACATGACATGGAACACATTCTTGGAAACTTCCACAGGGAGAAAACCCTGAAAGATCCTACTTTTTTTGAAAACCATTACTGGAAGAGTGTTACCTAAAAGGAACAAATTAATACTCTGAAAGAAGGAAAAGAGAAACTAAAAGTTACCGTGTAAAGTTCTTAGGGCTGAAAACCAAAATCCTATTACACTGTCTTGTCTGAGGAGCAGAAACCCAATTAAAGATGTGATGCTTCTCTCCATACAAACAGGTCATACTAAGGTGCCTCCAAGGTACTGCACTGCCAAAGACATCTGCCTCCTGTTCCTCCACCATTTTAATTAAATTTGTTACTTGTGAGGGAAAGGAACAATCTTGTCTCTGAACTCTTGAATTCATAATCACTAATTACAGGAGGAGAGAAGACTAGCTTCCCTAACATTCTCCCACACTGTCTGTGAGAAATCTCCCTCTTTGAAAGTTCTCTATGAAACAAACACACCTTCTCAGGCACAGACTGTTAATCTCAACACTGAAATTCTTGACTTGGGCTTTAGAAAAAAAAGTTAATTACAGTACTGTACTGTATTCATTGAGTATCTCTGAATCACATGCATTTCATATTTGTTACAATACTGAACCTTGGGTTGTTTCACACTTGGTTTTGTTTAGGATTCTTCCTGTAGGGCATCATACAGTACAATACTGCCTCTTTACAGATGTGGAGAAAGTACCCCAAGTTGTCAATATTTCAACACTTAGTGAGCTGAGGTTGACAACAGCTCAAGGTACACCCTGGCTGAATGTATAACACTGTTACAGCTGATGCACAGAATCTTAAAGATGTTGTCTGATGATGTTACACAGCTCTTTACAGTAACCTATTTCAACATAAATACTTACAGCCCATCTTAATTTATAACACTTCTATATTTCAGTAATTTTCTTTCTAGCAAGCACTACCAACACTATCATAGGTTTTATTTCACTTATCACATATTTTCCTTATTTTTTCTTCTAACTCTTAGAAGTCCGCTCTAGATGTAATGGAGACTGACACCAAGAACACCACAATACCTCCTCCTACTCACTGTCATTCACTTTCTCTCACTACCTAACCAAATGTGTTCTACTATGGTGTTCCTCCACAACAGTACAGTACAGTATTTCTATCTGTTCTTTTGATACACTAACTTACACCACACCTTCCCCACCTCCATCACTTGTCACACTCAAAAGCTCCTTAAACTTATCCCACCAAAGTTAGGTTAAAATTTCTAGAAAATAATTCGTGTGGTCCTTTTCTCACACTTTCAAGCTTTTTTCCCACAATACTACAGTACAGCGTAGCCAGAAGTGAGAGAGAAGCAACATGGATGAACCAGATTAAAAATTTTTTTAATACAGTACAGTATATTAAAATTCCTCAAATTAATATTGTTTTTTGTTAGAGTTGGATGACTGGCTGCCTGACTCCCTCATCAATATTCTGCATTACCATCAACAATGCTCCAAGCCTATAATCATTGTATACATATGATGAGCTTTGGATTGAGAAGCTTTTCCATGTTTTAATACTTTCTAAAATTGTATTGTACATCACTAACACTGTCTAAACTATATTCACTCATGTCAAAGGTGTCTGAGGAATTTTACACTGAGCTTTAACACTTTCTCGGGCAGTGATGCTGACTATAGCTGCATTGTGTTTACATCCAGTCATTGACTCCATCATCAAGTCTGCCATAATGTGATTAATACAGGTGCTAGACACAGATGGAATAATGAAAAGATATATGGTCACTAATATTAAACTTCTCTTTCACGAATTAACATATAAGATCATAATCATACAGGGGATCCCCGGGTTACGAACGAGTTCTATTTCTGAGGACGTTCTTAAGTCGGAACACATACCCTATGTGCACTATATCATAGCCTAAGTCCTTTTATACATCTCAAATCACTTAATTTAAGAGAAAAGAAGAAATTGAATGACAAAATACAGTAAAGGAAAGTAAAAATTTAAGTTTAACTAATTGAAACCTTGGGCTGGCTGATCTTCCACCCGTGTCACTAACAATCTTTCCATTTCTATTAACAATCCAATTCTTTGTTTTGTTATCACAGTTGAGTGCATTGGTGTAGAGCCTTTTACATGGTCAAGAATTTTGTTTGTCTTTCAAAATTGTTCCGATCATTGACAGACTGAAGCCCATCGCTTTACCGGTGACTGAGGGTGTTTCACCTCTTCCAGAACATTTAATTGCATCAACTTTCACTTCCATTGTAATTGTTTTCCTTTTCTTGGATGCATTACTACCACATGCATCAGGTTTGCATTTGGGAACTGCTCCGCCTTGCCGCTATGCCACGCAAACTAGTTCTTGTACATTAATACTATGAACTAGTTGTACCTATGTCGGATTCTTAAAATAATTGACCTTATGGGACCTCGTTCGTATCGGCGGGTGTTCGTAAGTTGGGGACCCCCTGTATTGGAAGGAACTGAACCAACTCTCTTTTAACATTAAATTAACTTATTTAATTACTTTTTGCAAATTAATTACACTCCATTTTTTTCAAGCTATCTTATAACGTATTCAAGGTAGGACAATGTATTCCTTTGGCAATTTAGTTTCTGTAATAGCGACAATTGTGCCTGAACCTTCACTGGATAATTTACACTCCTTTCTGTTTTTAAATCTCCTGTTGAGGAAAATATATAATATATAAGGTAATATAAAAAGTATTCTGATCATCCACATTGATGTTAATGTGTAGTTAATTACAGCCAATCTTTTTCTGTTTTACATAAACAATCCAAACTAATGTGGTTATAAATTATTAGAAAAATTAAGCATTAATACCTCACAATATGACCATCTCTGTATGTGTATCAATTTCTCTTAGGGGGACACATCATTCCTTCAGATTAATTTAGCGGTCTGTTTCAGGTTTTAATGATTTTTTAAATATGCACACTATTGTTATTAATTCTTTCTTGCCTACCTCATTATCTCCCTGTTTCTTATACAGCCTGTATATACTGTGACTATTTTGCTGATAGTGCCTTCTCTTTTTCATATACTGATAACCCCTTTCTTATTTACCGATAGCCCCCTTCTATTTCTCATCTGCTTCAAGAAATCTCTCTCTCTCTCTCTTTTCATTCTCTGATTGTACAAACAACTGGAAACTGCTTCAATTCTGGTGTCATATAAATCATTAATTTTCATTTCTTACATGCCCATTAAGTGCAGTACAGGACAACCAGAATGAAGACCAACACAACCTCTGCCTCATTCAATAAAATTTTAGTTTTTCTAGATGTCTCAGAAGCTACATTCTACATTGGTCTACCGGTCCATAAACTCTTCCCAACATATATATCTGGTTTACCAATGTCACTTCAAACATCACCTCCACACCACTCCCACAAACTAGCCACTACCCACGGCAATAGTTAAAGATTCAATTCATGCTCCAATACATCTTAGTGTTTAATGGGGATAAAACAATATTTTTTTAAGCTGTGTTATGATTACTATAGACTGAAGTATTTGGAAAAGGACTGTCAAAGTTTTATTCTTGAATTAAATAGATTCATCAATTCCCATATGAGGAAGGATCATCATCATCATCATCATCAATGTTTTACAACCATTCTCTAAGACTTGTTCCACTCATCATAAAATAAAGTCAAATCTCCTGTGTGACTGAGTATCATACTAACAAATCATAAATCTATTTGAGATAGTTACAGTATTCATTTCAATCACTTCATATGGATTTAAAAACCATTTCTCATAGTATGGAAAGTAATATAAATTTGGATTTTGAGCAGATCATTGAGGTTCATCATCAATACAACTGAATTATCAGCTGTAACTAATTCATTACTAATTGGATTTGGTCAATCTTAATAGAATTTCTTTTAGGTTTCATCAGCAGTGTCTCTAAATTCAACTGTAAACAGCCAGAGTCAGATGACTTGTATATTACAGTGTTGCTGTCTGAGCTACACATTCTTTATATCAAAGCAAAACTCATCTTGTAATTCATATTCACATCTCATCAGAACCCCTGAGACAACAGCTCCATAATACAGTACAGGGTTACTCAGGTCTATAAACTTTTTAAATGGAAATAAGATATGGTAATAAGTTCCTTTTTACAACAATCCAAAACTTGTCTAGAAATGAATGTACTTTGGTGATCAGTATGATGGCCAGCACAAGGTCTATAACATGAACAACTTGTAATATATTTATCAGGGTACTCAGGAGGTTAATGAAGGGACTCAAGAAATCATTTAAGTTTACAGTGGCTGGTATGTGGGATGGTTATCATCAATATTATTATTAACTTGGAGTATAACTGTGAGTCATATATGAAGAGCTAGAGGTACAATGTTGAGATCTTCCTGAGATGGCATAAGTCTGAACAAGTTATTTAATACAGGTGTCTTGATCATTATCTTTGTAATATAATAAGCTCTGTCAAATGTCACAGGGTATGAATGCATATTCAAGTTGCACCAATACATTGGCAATGTAGTTTGAGCAAAGAAACATAAACAAATTATAGTAATGAACATGATATATTAATAATAATGACAACCCTTGCTGGGCTTTTTGTGGAACACTGTATTAAGGAATAGTGAAATGACCTATTTTCGCCTGTACATTTATTATCACAGAATATACATTCACTACACTGATATGACAAACACTGGAAGTCCATAATAAACATTTACTATGAGCTAAAGATCAAAGATAATATCTACTATATTACAAGGCAATACAACCCAACTAAATCACAATCTCTTAAAATGAATCTGAGATCACGTTCATCTTCAGTAAAATACTTCTCTTCAAAACTTATCATTTAATTTTAAATGCTATGTCTGGAATGTTTAACTGATGAACAGTCTTAAGTAAGCAATGTCTGGGGGTTAATATCACTAAATCTATGTTAATATATATATATATATATATATTTATAGCTCTAAGTCTCCAGCCGCCCCATCATCACCCTGCCAAATCTTAAGAACAGGTAGCATTTTCTGATACTGTATTATCTTTATATTTTATGTATTAGTGTGAATTTCCATAACGTGAATAATGTGACTACAGAGAGCAGCTGTAGGTGGTACAGCAACAATCATGAAGTATTACAACTAGCATGAGATTCAGGCTTCAAGTATGTTTACACATTTGATCAACTTGATTTGGAAAAGAATGGAAAACCGTTGCAAGATAAGTGTAATGATGCAACAGTTTAAACATTCTCGTCACCTCAAAATAATCAAATATTTCACACATCTTTCATGTTATAATTAACAAGAGGCAGCACAGTACAACTAGTGTCTATGTGAATGGTTCCTTACCTCACGATTTATTAATATTTTGTGAAAACTCTGGATTGAGACGGAAAATGAAGATAAGCTTCACATCACGAAAAAAATAGATCTATCGAGGGAATCCCACGTACCACTTTAAATAGGCCGTGGCACGTGAGGGTCTGTGGTGATTTATTTTCAAGTATACATTTATCTGACAATTATTGAAGGATTACCTGAGTCATGACTTCTGCTTGTGTCTATTAAGGTTGTGTAAGCTTTGTACTGAGGATGTGAAATTCACAATGAGCTGAGCATTTACGGAACAGAGCCGCATCATCCAACACAAGACAGTTCCATGCTATAGGTCGTGTCCTTGTGACTAACTTTTGGCACTCCAGGACCTGCTACATAAACCTATTTGTGTGCAAAAAAAAATATCAAAATGTTTCCTTGCAACTTTCCATCAAACTTCTCTAAAACAGACAAAGCCATTTAGTTTGTTGATGGTATGACCGGGAGCAGGTCGTTCGTTGCACAGCAATCTCATATAACATGAAGCTTAACCTTATCAATAGTCAGTGTTCCTTAGAGAAAACTTATAACATTCTCTTTTTGATAATGAACATATGGAATGTAATATGACAAGTATAAGTTATGTACTACAATGCTCCGTGTACATGAGTAGTCCCTCACATAACCAGGAAACTAGAGAGATAAAAAAAAACTTAAGAGATTAATAACAAGAACCTAAGTCATTAATCTCTTGTTCAGATTATGCCATCTCAAAACACAACCACTCCATCCAGATTCAATGGTGTAGTGACTCAATGTTTATACAAGTCTAGAGTAACTTAACACACACATACACTATCTGTAAATTGATGGGGATGAACACACAGTTGTGGTCCTAACCCCTCACTCATCTCTTTCTCAACTGATCATTACACTGCATCATTTTCTTGCCAAAGCTTGATACCCACACAAGCTACAACACTGTTGCAATGAATACAATGATAATTCAGGACTGTACTGTATACTGTAATGTTGTGAAGTACTTTTTTTTACAAAACTGAGATTTTATTTCTCCTTAATATGAGGATTTGTCCTTGTAACACTATACTTAACTCTTTCCATTTAGTTTTCATTAATCACATTTCAAAAATAATAAATACCTAAGTACTATACGCTCCAGAACTAAAGTCATCAACAGCCGCACGGAACTTACACTAGTGACCTCTCGCAATGAGAAAAATATAAATAAAATTATGATACGATTTAACTAAAATATGAAGTTATTAAGCTTAAAAAATAAGAATAAATAAAATACTATTGTACTTTAAAAATCACATGCGATTAAGTACAGTACCCCTATTGTACTTAAAAATTTTCCTCGTTGCCAGAGGTCACTGTAGTGTAGATTCCGTGCGGCTGTCCTTAACTTTAATCCTAGAGTGTACATAAAAGGGAAGGACATGTAACTCTTATGTTTTTTCTTCATATTATTCTGTCTTCTTCAAGTACACTAACTGCAGGACTCACAACTGATATAACTCAGCAAGGAACCACTAACCTCTTGGATGTGTTCCTTCACTGCATCATTCCCACATCACTTGACTGTAAATTTATAAACCTTCAGACACTTGTACACACCAAAGAGGGAGTCATTGTGTGGGGGGTTACTACATCACTCTGGCTCATCTTCAACTGTACTGTTTCATAACACTCAAATACATATCTCTACATTAAAAACCTCTGCCTAACACATCTTGTTCCTTTGGCAATAACAACATGGTGAATGATGACCCCACCCTAGTAGCCATGGTTACTGTAGCAGCAAAGTTTCACATAATGGGTCTCTAAAACCTCTGCACAGGGTGTCTCATAGGTCGTGCACCGTAGGAAAAATAGGTCTTCACTTTTTTTTTCCTTTTTCAGGCAAGAGAAACACAACAAATTAACAAAGATGGTGGAGAAATTTACACTGGAAGAAAGAGTCAGTTTGATATTATGTAAGGAAAGCCAGATGCCACTAACTGATCAGTTGCATACGAATTTTATCAACAGCATCCAGGTATAAGAACCACTGAAAAACTAAACTAGATCATTACATATGAATACAAGATGACCCAGTGAGTTAAGGCATCTTGTTCACATACAATCAACACGTGTTTTGAAGTACAGTAGATGGTGAAACACTTGAAAATTTACTGTAATAATGTTTTTTTTTTTCCCTACAGTGTGCAACTTCTAAGACACCCTGTAGACAGAAATATTCCCTTAACTTATACAGTAGGAAGTATCAGGGTTCATGTGTAAAGAGTGCAAGATGATAACTGGTATCTTGGGTTACTATCCTGCTGGTGTAGGCGTATTCAAATCAAGTATGAGAGATTAATGGTTTACACTAAGTAATACCTATTTAGTGGAGTCGGGTTAAGGTTGGGGATCACTGAGTCCAGGAAATACTGTACTTCAGTAGTGAGACTCTCTTGGGCACATCAAGATGACCACCACTGATTATTATACTGTACGTTAAACTCAGGCTCTCGTGAAGGACCCTTGGCACCGCTAGTGTTAAAACCTCTAACACATAATTGCACACACGCATAAATACAGACACACACATACATACATACACATATACATATGTGTCATTTCCTAAACTATAGGACAAAACAACATGGCAACATTTCTCAGTGGAAAAAATGAATAAAATCAATCCCTCAATTACTCAGTTCAACACCTTCTAAAGTACCCACAATCTAGTAGATAAAAATACAGGTTCATTACAAAATCAATGCCCACATATTTATATTTTACAGTTCAAAATATGGATTATTCTTTTTTTCATGACAAAATATTCATCTACCACCTACACTTAGATAACTCAAATCCAGAGAGAGCAAAGTTCCAATATAAATTCCTTGATAAGTAACACCTTTAACCACAATACACTGTACAATACTAGCAGTGTTTTCAATGAAAAGCCTTTCTTATTTGATACTAGACGAATCAATGAGAACTTTCATTATTCATTGTAATGAAAATCATCACATGGTGTCATTTTCTATATTGTTTCTTCCTTATCCTCCCTCCCTTTCACCCTTGGGTTCACTGTCAAACTCCCCCCCCCCCCAACCACCAATAAGGCCATGTTAAAACTTTATATCCTATTATCCAGGCCAAATTCTGACTACCGGGTACCTTCTATCCATGACATCCAGGACTCTCTTTTAATCATTATTAAGTCAATGCCAACTACACCACATGAGATCCTTTTCACTCAAGCTTCAAATCTGTACAAGTTGTTTATATAAATCCTACTTCACCCCAAAAGTTCAACAATACCTGACTCATAGCCGACTAAATTTCCCCATTCCTCAACTACATGACACGGCTATTAAATGAATGTTTCTGTAACTGAACTAAAGATAAAATATACATCCATGGTTTGATTGATAGAGACAGACACAATGTACAGACTCTACTCAGCAAGAATTTATACCTGAATAAAACAAGTGTAATACAGGGCGTCTAAAAAAATAATTATACACAATGCCTTACGGATTCTCAAAGCAATTACGTGAGTGAATGAATGAATGACTAAATACATTCCAACACCAACACTGTCCTCACGTGCTGATGTGAAAGATCGTGCCACAAAAATCAAGGCAGATTTTTTTTAAGACACCCTGTACTGTATAGTATAACAAGATCCCAGGCAATTAAGTAGTGAGATGAGAGTAATTAGCTGTAATCTCTACCAATAATAATGTACTTGAATGTTGAATGTATACAGATTTCAAGAGAAGAAAGAATGATTCACCTCCTCTAAATAATAAATACAAATATCCTATGTTAAGCTCCAATATACCAAAATGGTGATTAACTTGACAACTATGACCTGAATAAAATGTAAAAATTCAAAGGCTGGAGTGAAAATGTATATAAATGACTTCAGCACCATCATCATCTTTCAACAAGTAATTTAAAAAGAATTATCCACAACTCTTTAACAAATCATAAAACACAGTGATAATATATTCATTATAACTTAAATGAATCCAGTAAATGCAAAGATCTTCTCCTTATCCAAGATTCATACTGTACGTAATTGTTAATGCCCAATATTGTCCTAATTCATTGTAGAATCTGTAATTTGCGAGTTTCAACCATTGGTACTACTGCCAGCTGAATACACCAAGGTTAGGTTAGGTCTCCAAGCCCTTCTACTCCGTGAAAAGTTTAAGATGTTGAAATGGTTTGCAATCATCACAGATATGGAATAAATGCAATAACAGTAGTGACTTCTGGCAATGAGGAAAATCATAAGTTAAAACTAAGATATAAATAAAATACCTGTATAAAGCTTAAGAAGTTTAAAAATCAAAATTAAAATAAAATAAAATACAATTTCAAAAATCACATGCAGTTAAGTACAGCACTCCTATTACGGTTAAAAATCTTCTCATTGCCAAGTCATTAGTGTAGGTTCCGTGCACCTGTCCACGACTTTTACCCTAGTGTACCAAGTATTGTTTCATGATTACCTGTATACTGTAAATAGTTTTGATGGATTTTCTTATATTCTGGTACAGTATTTATCTACCAGTATGTAATGATCTACCACTTTCAGTCACACAATGTCAAGGTAAAGATGTTTTTAAGAAGTGAGTAAAATCATTATTATAGAGTAGTCTCAATGTTCAAAATTAAAATGTGTTCATAACTAACTTCTATACCGTACATGCTGTATTATGTAGTAATTTAACTCTTTTTTCTAGCTAATTTAACTAAGATTTGTTATATTAGTCAGTGTCATTAGTTAACTGTAAGAATGTTTGTGATGCCATGTTTTGTGTTGTTGCTTGTAATTTAATAGTTCTTCAGGACCACCACATCAGAAGTAAGTGTATATAATAGTTTAGATGTTAGCCCCCAGTCAATGCCTATACAGTATATAGGTACAAATCATGTCTGTTACATATAAACTAAAAGTTGATTCAATATCTTTTCTGGACTGAGTTTCTAAAACCACAAAGGGTCCTTAAATTCAACTCTCTCCCTCTAAAAAGACCAGTTTAACCAAAATTTTCTCATTAACACAAATTTTTTTCATGCTAAAAGAAAAAATCAAGAGTGTAAGTCCCCAACTGAGAATAAAACAGAATTAATAGACACTCGTGCTGCCAGATATGCATGAACACTATAAATTGTCTCAAAATTAAAGGAATAATAAAGGATTTCATTTGTAAAGGTGATAACGGCCACACACACAGTACAGTACTAATACACACTCATTCATTCTGTCATCTACCTGCAGTGTGTGATTAGCATACAGCAGGGAACTCTGCCCTCTTAACCATGGTCTAGGTAATGCTAGGGTGAGGCTGCCTGGGGTCATCCACTTTACTAAAAAAATATATGTTGTACAGAAGTATTATCCTTTTGTGGAGGAATAATGCCTTGACAAATTTATAATTTCCATGGGAATTTACATCTTGTGGCCCCTCATAAATAGACATAAATACGACAAGCGAGTGATACCAGGTTTTGCTTAGTGGGAGGAGGACAATAAGTGCTACCACTGTATAAGTTGTCGCCTTATTCACCAGTGCATGTGTACACACTTCCATAACAGTCATCGAACCTTCATCATAACATAACACATCATACAGTTAGTCATCATTTTAAACACAGATAAAGGAATGTTATCTTCCCAGCTGAGCGATACTTACCCGGTGGTTGGCTGTTGGGTCACACAATGACCAGCTCTGTACAGTACAGGTTGTGATGGCTTGTGTAACTTATGTTTTGACCGTAGCATATAACTCCTACACCACAGTTGCACCCATAATTTGCAAAGCTTACAATACCAATCACAGAGAACTCTTAGGGTAGTCTATGAGCCCATAACTGTACTCTTTGTCTCCATATTAAGGATCTATACACCCACTCTGGTACGCTGCCTGAAAATCATTATTTCAACATCTTGAAAGCCTTTATTTAAAGACCTATATTACTTACCTACAATTTCTGCAACACTTAATGTGAAACCTCAACCTAGCAAACTATATGGGGGAAGGGGGTCTGTTTGATGTGAAACTTCAACATAATGGACCATATAAGGGGTGGAAGGTTTGTCCATTATAATCAAGATTTGTTAGATGTGAAACCTCGATGCAACGGATAACACGAGGGAGGGCAGTCCGATATAGAGGTTTCACTGTAGTGCACTATCAACAGGACGTGCTTAACCATTTGACTGAAAACATCATATAGGCTTTCAACAATTCAAACACCAATGGCTTAACATGCATAATATGATAAATGCTTCAGACACACTTTGACACTATGGAGTGGAGAATGTGTTTGCTAGTCTGGTGCCTTGGCTAGGACAGTGAATATGAGCAAGAGGATGAACAGTAACCTCCGGACAATGTCATCACACTCTGACCGTCCGACAACAACCACAACCGCTTGTGAATAACCACACTTCACTGTATTAAATCAACAGCACAGTGAAACCTGGACCTGATATTGACAATGGAAATTATTATGAAATGCTAAACATTTCAATTAGGCTTTTAAATCTTGCTTCATGTGTTGATTAACTTGTGCCTCATAAATGTTAGTGCAGTACTCAGTGCACTCTCTCGACCAATCCTTGACTTTTCTTTCATAGGACCTCCTGTGTTTCTGAATTTCAATAAAATCCAGGAAATTTAAAATATATACTAAGAAAAGAAAAAATTATCACTTATGAAAAATAATCCATACTATTTTAGTGGGATTTTTTTTTAAGATTAATGTTGTCAGCTATGAAGAAGTGGTTACAATATAGTAAGACTTGGACACAACACATATTAGCAAACCATGTCCTTATCTAGTGACAACAGCTAGGTACTCTTTCACCACACTGTCAGCTTTGATAGGAGTGAGTCTGTGGAAATTGGACATGAGGTGTTGTTTCAAACTCCGTCTCTGGGCAATATGTCGACCGCACAATGGACACGAACAACTCTGACGCGAAGGCGACGTGCACGTGTTACCGCTGCCGCTCTTCCCCGATACCGACGTCACCTGCGGTAGAGTTGCTGTGGGCACCAGGTGGTGATTGGTCAGCAGAGGGTTAGTGAGGTCAGAGGCAGCAAGCAGAGTAGAGGTGCAAGGGTTAGTGGCCCAGAAGTCAGCTGCATCACCTGAGTCGTGGGTGGCCAAGGGGTCATCAGATATCGTGTTGTTGTAGCACGTCGTTCCGCTGGTCACTATTCCAGACCCGAGCATGTCCCCATCATTCTCGTCGGCGGATCCACCTAATGAGCCGACGAGACTCTCCAGAGCCGACATGGTACTGCCGCCTGTAGGGGGGAGATGCGTTAGTCCACGACCACCTGTACAGCATGCCAGTGTTAGTAATTTACCCGGTCAACCCGTATAGCCACAGCCTTGCCCAATGATTAATCAAACCACAAACATATTATATAAGCATATTACTTACCTAATATAGCAAGATAAATGAAGCACTCACCAATGATTTATGGTAACCTATCTCTTTCCCAATATGACATGAGTTCTATCCACATATCTACACACTTCTGAAAAATATAACTAAAACTGTATTATACAAACTTTGTGTCTCTTATTATCAACACAGCAATAAGGTATGGGGGAAACTATGCTTCTCTAGGAGTTAACATTACTGTATGCATTACCACTATAAATCCAAAGTCCAAGACTTACTTACACATCTACTGTACAGTACTGCAGATAATGAAAGTAACTTGCTACTTTGCCTTCACTAGGATGAAGCTGCTCACTAAGCATCTCAATATAACTCTTGTACATCCTTGGGAAGAATACAGTATGTAGTAAACACTTTAAGGTCTCATGCACAGGTGTTAAGAAACAAACCTTTAAGGATCTTCAAGAAAACAAAATTCAAAAAGTTGCTCAAGTTTATTGTACTTCTGTCAACAATCCTTACAACTTACAATAAGGAAGATACAAGCAGTAAAGCTATGAGATCAACCTCCGGCAAACAGATTTTATCTCCACAAGTCTGAGGCGAGTCCGTGAATTAACGTCAGCGGCCTGACATTCATCCTTACAAAATCCACTTGTCAATGACGCAACTGGAAGAGGAAACGCTGAACATAAGGAGAGGAGAGGAGTAACAAGAGGCACTTTGGGACACTAATGGCTCGTCACTCACACAATACTATACAGTTTAGATTTTCTGCTGACTCGCTAAACAATGGTAGTTGTCTGTATGTTGTGTAGGGACTAACTCCATCCCACAGTGGACACCTTATATCTACCTGTATATGTTCAGGACAGCAAAAATATTTAGGACACAGTAATCAAATGTCATGATGAGCTATTTGTCTCTTTTTAGATCTCAATATACATTTCAGCAACTAATATTGGTGAGAGTATATCAGCTGTCACCATGAGCTATATAATACAGTATTTCCCAATTGAAAAATTATATATAAATAAATTTTAAACCATCATCATTTTGGAATTTAAAAAAAAATACGTAAAAATATTTAAAAAATCTAAGTGTCCACACATGTAACACACCAGTTCATGGATATATTAAAAACTTAATAAATGGAAGCACAAGGTGTGTTGTGTGTTTAAAACAGGGTGGTTAAGTGCATATACTTGTCATGCTGTACTGTGGCATGTGTGTGTGTGTATTATACTGCCATGAAGGTGGAGATGTATGTGTGTGTGT